CTAGTGAAAGGCAATGTTTCAGAACGGAACTGTGCTGATGAAATACCGAGTTACAGGTAGGTAGCCGTCTTGGTCTGCCTTAGTCGAAACAAAATAAATAAATAGATTAGATAAGATAAGATTCCTTCCAGTAGCACCTTAGAGACCAACTAAGTTTATTATTTGTACACTTCTTCCAATATACTGAAACAGAAGTCACCAGACCCTTCTATATATTGAGAGGATGGAGAGGGGTATTACTCAGAAGGGTGGTGGGAATGGGTGACTGGCTGATAGGTGTGGTAAACCTGCAATTGGTCTTACAGGCAAAAACAAGGGGTGAGATGGCTAAAATAGCTTTATCATGTATAATGAGATAAGAATCCAATGTCTCTCTTCAGACCAGGTCTCTCCATGGTTTTAAGTTTGGTAGTAAGTTGCAATTCAGCAGCTTCTCTTTCCAGTCTATTTCTGAAATTCTTTTGTAATAAGACAGTGACTTTCAGATCTTGTATAGAATGTCCTGGGAGTGTTCTCCTACTGGTTTCAGAAATACCTGATAGTGCAGGTAATAGTCCAGCAAACTTAACCCATCTTCTCCAATGGATGCCTGTTGCTCATGCCTAGAGATGGGAAGGCCTGGAAAAAAACTAGAAAAATGGCGGGGGGGACGACAGGTTTTTTTCCTGAAGCCCTTTTTTCCTGGGGGGAAAAATGAAAAAAATTGTTTGATATAGTTTGAATATTCCACATTTTTATTTTCAATTTTTCCTGGAAAAAAATGATTTTGGGGGGAAAGAGGAAAAATGTGCCCTCCCCCCTTTTTCCACCCCCCAGGTCTTCCAGAACCCCCATTTTGCAGCTCCCTGCCGACAGACACCAGGCAGGTGCTCTCACTGTACTCCTTCCGGCAACTGCTCAAAACATTTTCGTTAGGGCCAGCGCATCTGAACACGTAGAAGCTGCGTGCGATTTACTTCCTTTTAACCACTGCTGACTTTAATCATATTTTGAATACCCTTAAATACCTGCTTTTAACTGTGTTTTATCAATCATTTTAATGTTCTGTTGTATATTTTTGTAAACTGTTTAGAAGCTCTCTTACCACCATGCGGTTTATAATATATAATAAATTCAATTTAAAAAACACACACGCTTCCTTTCCTTTCAAACTGAGTTTGAGCCTTAGTGCAATTACTTTTCAGTAACTGGATGTTGCTTCCTTCTGGGCCTGGCATGCAAAAAAAATTGCCTTACGCTTTCCCCAGCGTTACTCAAGTAGAGATGGGAAGGCCTGGGGGGGAAAACGGGAAAATGGGGGGGGACAGTCCCCCCCCGTTTGCCCCCAAAGCCGTTTTTTAGAAGTCTATAGGGAAAATGACAAAGAGGAAGAGGAAGAAGAAATGGAAAATGATAGCAGTAGTTGAGAAAGTGAGATAGAATAAACTGCATGTATATGTTGTGTCTTCTGTTGTTGCTTTTAAAGCACTACTCAAAGGGTAGACCTTCCATGGAGCTTAAATATTGAGGTGGACCTTAACTTTATTTGCTGTTGTTGCTAAGGGGCAAATTTCATTATTATTTATGTCGGTGGTTTCTTGCTTTTTTCGTTGCTTTTGAGAGAAAGGGGGGTGGTTACCTGTTTTATTGCAAGCCTAATACTTTTAGATACACTGTGTTTCACGCAATTTGTAAAACTACTCCACACTGAACCCCCCCCATTTCCCCAAAATTTCCTTTCCCCAAAAAATAACGGAGGGAAACGTCCCGTCCCCCCCATGGCTTCAAAATTTTGGGAAATTTTACATCTCTACTCATGCCCCTTTCATTGCTGCCTTGTTAGAAACTGTCCTCTGGTTCCCCCCATATGTCTGTCGTTCACTAAAATGCTTGCATATCCCTTGACAAGGCAGAATCCCTTCCTGGGAATTCCTGGGCAGAGAGCTGCTGAACCCTAGACCCCAAAAGGAAATCCAACCTCATCCAGGAGACAATGCTAAAAACTGAATTCTGTTTTAAATGCAGTTTTTAGGATGCGGGTGGCGCTGTGGTCTAAACCACAGAGCCTAGGCCTTGCTGATCAGAAGGTCAGTGGTTCGAATCTCTGCGGCGGGTTGAGCTCCTGTTGCTCAGTCCCAGCTCCTGCCAACCTAGCAGTTCGAAAGCAGGCCAGAGTGCAAGTAGATAAATAGGTACCCCTCCAGTGGGAAGGTAAACAGCGTTTCCATGCGCTGCTCTGGTTTGCCAGAAGTGGCTTAGTCGTGCTGGACACATGACCCTGAAGCTGCCTGTGGACAAACGCCGGCTCCCTCAGCTAGTAAAGCGAGATGAGTGCCGCAACCTCAGAGTCGTCCGCGACTGGACCTAATGGTCAGGGGTCCCTTTAATAAATGGTTCTTCCTCTGTTCCTTTTATCCCCACCAACAGCCCTGTGAGGTAAGCTAGTCTGAGAGGCATTGACTGGCCCCATGGCCACCCGGTGGGGAATTCGATCCCTGGTCTCCCAAAGCCATAGTCCAGCACTCTAACCACTACACCACACTGCCTCTCACCACTGCCTAAGAAGTCCCAACATTGTCAAAGCAGAGATCAGAGTTCCTAGAAGGGAGATATTTTTTTCCATCCCAGCTGCCTGGTCTACAAAGGGTTAAAGATAAAGTGCAGGATTCCTAGAGAGGCAGGAAGCTGGAGGAGCTCTTAGTCCTCCAGGGCAAGCGCCCCTCCTGCCTTGTGCATGGTCCTTTTGCAGGAGAGGCTGCAGTGGTTGGATGTGTTATGTATTGAAGTTCTCACCCTGGCCACCAGGGGTATTGTGCATGTAGTTTTCACTCAGGTCCACATCAGATAATTTAGGCAGGAAACCCTGGGATGTTGTTGTTGTTGTTACAATGTTGACAGCTGGCTGCCTATAAAAGCGGGCCCGGTGAGCTACTTGCAGAAACCTCTGTGTCATCTGATATGTCCACCCACTATCTCACAGAATGCATGGAAGGAAGCAGGCAGGGAGGCTGGGGCCGGATCCTGCTGCAACCCAGAGCAGCTTAGAGGAGGACCTGAGGTTCCCCTACCTCTGGCTGAGGCCCCTTGTGGTCCACGCTCCCTTGGCCAGCCTTTGCCTTGACGCAGAACCTGGAAAGAATAGGAAAAGAGGCTGCAGGGGACAATCCTTCAGCCATATTGGAGGCTGCTGCCCAAATCCCCAAACTGCCCCCTTGGGAGATCCTCGGAAAAGCTATGAAGACCCACCTGGATGTAGACACCCTCAGCTCAGTTGCTAGTGCCAGAGATTCAGGCATTCCTGCTACCAGGAGGCCAAGGGACCCCGAGAGGTTTGCAGCTGACTCCAATGCCTTTGCAGGGAGTGGCTGGAGCCAGAGCGACACACCGAGGCTCAGATCCTGGACCTGGTAGTCCTGGAGCAATCCCTGGCTGTCCTCCCCCCAGAGATGGAGAACTGGGTGAAGGATCAGGGAGCGGAGACCAGTTCCCAGGCGGTGGCCCTGGCCAAAGGTTTCCTCCTGAGCCAGGCAGAGGAGAAGCAGCAGCAGGTGAGACAGTTTCATCCTGGTAGCACACAGAAATCCGCGGTGGCTGGTGAATTCTGAGTGTGGTGTCTCTTAAAAGGCGAAAGTGGCTCTTGGGTGCAGAAGGTTCTGGGTTCGATCTCCAGGAGGGGCTGGGAAATCGTCCCTGCCTGAAACCTGGAGCAGGGGTGGGGGTGGAATTGCATTTGCACATGTGGCAACACATGGTAAACTTAAAGCCTCTACTGTTAGAAAATAATTCCACTTGTGATGCATACGTACAAGCAGTGCAATGTCCGCATTTGAATAAACCTTGTGGAGCTGTGGTCAAGGTCTGGTGTGTAGAGGTGTGTGGTAAGTCAGTATGTACTAGCATATCTCTAAGTGATCTGATGCGTCATTTATCAAAGCAGGGAAAGACCTCACAGCCTGGAATATTCAATCTCACTGGGCAAAAGTCATATACCACTTGAATCATGGGGAAAGATTTTAAAATTCACAGCATGCAGTTCATGAAAATAAAATTCTATGAAGATGATGTACCGATGGTATTTCACTCCAGTAAGCTTGCTAAAATGTATAAAGATACCTCTAATTTATGCTGGAAATGTAAGGATATGGAAAGTCCTTTTTTTTTCTTTTTTCATATGTCGTGGACATGTAAAAAGTAAAGGGCTTCTGGGAAATTATAAAAAATGAACTTAAAAAAAATGTTTAAAATTACGTTTGTTAAAAAATCAGAGGCCTTTCTTATTAGGTGTAACAGGAGAAAATATGCCAAGGAAGCAAAAGAGACTGTTTATTTATGCGACTACAGTGGCCAGATGCTACTATCCCAGATGTGGAAAGAAGAAAAGGTCCCAACGAAAGAAGAATGGATAACTAAGATGAGTGACTATGTCGAAATAGCTAAACTAAGCCTGAAGATCAGGCACCAAGATGAGAAAAAAATCAATCAAGAATGGGAAAACTCAATAGACACGTTTAAATAACACTGTAAAAGAGGCAAAACATTAGCAGGTTTGATGTAACCTTTATGAACCAAGAATAGAATTGGGTGGGGGGAGAGAAGTTGAAATTAATTGGGAGAAATATAATTATATGCAAGGAGAATAACAGGGGGGGGGTGGAAACCGGGGTGGGGAGTCATCTATTGCAAATTTGTATTGGATATGTATTCTGTATACCAAAAGTAAAAATGTTGTTATTTTGAAATTCGAAAATAAAATATATATTTTTAATAATAAATATATTAATATAATAAATAGTTTAGAAAACGTTTTGGGGCTCCCGTGCAGCTGATCCAGCGGGTCTTTCTGGAGGCGAGAACAGCCCGGAGAAGCCCAGAGGCTCCTGCCGCTCGGCTCCGAAACGGTTAAGAGCAGCGGCGACAGGATCTGAGATTCCTAGAGCGGAAGAAAAAAGAGGCTGCCGGGAGAATAGCAGCTTCCGCTTCCTGTCCCGCTTTTTGAGGGCGGGAGATGCCGAACATGGCTGCGGCTGTCCTTCCTTGCGGAGGTGCTGGAGGTGCGTCGTATTATTATGTATTATAACGCGAGTGCAGCTGGGGGGAGTGTGGAGAGGGAGTTTAGAAAGACCCTATTAGGTAAACCGTTTCAATGTAAGTTTTTTTCTGCGTCTCCTTTCTCTAGTATTTCATATAATATTTTCAGTTCCCATTATTAATGCATTTCTGTACATTTTTCTGTTAAAACAATGCATTTATAGGTCTTTCCCCCTTTGAATAGGGGTAGGAAATATTTTCCCAATGGAAGGGCAGGTCTTTCTCCTCCTGCAGGCCAACTTGGGCAGGTGGGGGAACCTTCCTTCATCTCTCCATAAGGCTTGGGCTCAAGGCAGAACCTTGTGCACTAATAATAATAATAATAATAATTTATTTATACCCCGCCCTCCCTGGCCAGGACCTAGCTCAGGGTGGCTAACACGAAATATAAATTACTATAAAATGTAGGAGGGGAAAAAATACAAAAAAATAGTTGCTTAAAATACTGTGGATGAAAGATCCAAATTAATGCTTTAAACACTGGTAAGGGCTCATTATCAAGCCTACCTAGTGGCAGTGAAGGCAGTAAATAAACCATAGTTTTCTGCCTCCATTCCATCTTTATTATGTTGTCTGGCAGAGCTTTTCTGGGTTGTAAGGCGCCTTTTACAGGCTGGCCCAAAGGAAGAGTAGAACGAGCAGTAGCTGGCTGTGACTTGTTTGCAAAGCATTTTGAAGATAAAATTGCTTGTATCCACCAAGACCTTGACTCTGCTGTTACAGCAGATGAGTCTCATGGGTTGTCCAGAGCACAGTCTAGTCCTGTTGTGTTGGATGAGTTTTTTCAGTTGGTAAGGCTCAAGGATATGGACAAGGTGCTTGGATCAGTCAGGGCGACTGTTTGCACTCTAGACCCTTTCCCCTCTTGGCTGATAAAATCCAGCAGGGAGGGAACACCTGGCTGGGCCAGGGAGATGATCAGTGCCTCTTTACAAGAGGGGGTGGTCCCTGCCTGTTTGAAGGAGGCAGTGGTAAAACCACTCCTTAACAAACCTTCCCTGGATTCAGAAAACGGAACTAACTACTGACCACTTGCTAATCTCTGGGCAAGGTTCTGGAACGAGTGGTCACAAACCAGATCCACGTGCTTTTGGAAGAAGCTGATTTTCTGGATCCATTTCAACCAGGGTTTAGGCCTGGTTTTGGCACAAAAAACTGCTTTGGTCGCCCTGTATGATGACCTCTGTCGAGAGAGAGAGACAAGGGAAATGTGTCCCTGTTCATTGTTCTCCACCTCTCAGCGGATTTTGATACCATCAACCATGGTATGCTTCAGGAGTGATTCTCTGAACTGGGGGTGGGTGGCACTGCTTTGTGGTGGTTCCAGTCCTACTTGGATGGTCGTTTCCAAAGGGTGCTACTTGGGGAATGCTTTTCAGGCCCGTGGAACCTTCAATGTGGGGTTCCGCAGGGCCAAATCCTATCCCCCATGCTGTTTAACATCTATATAAAATTGCTAGGTGGGGTGATCCGGAGGTTTGGAGTATGTTGCCAGCAGTATGCTGATGACATTCAGCTCTATTTCTCCTTTCTATCTGCAGATGAGGCAGTGGAAGTGCTGGACCAGTGTCTTGCCTGGGTAATGGACTGGATGAGAGCCAAGAAACTGAAGCTCAATCCAGATAAGACTGAGGTGCTATTAGTGGGTGGTTCCCCAGAACAGATGCCTGGAAGCTTGCCTGCTCTTGATGGGGTTACATGTCCTTGAAGGAGCAGGTCCGTCACTTGGGGGTCCTCCTGGATCCTTTGCTGTCACTCGAGGCTCAGGTGGCCAAGAGTGCCTTCCATCAGCTTTGACTGGTAGCCCAGCTACACCCCTATCTGGACAGGGATAGCCTATCTACCATTGTCTATGCTCTGGCAACTGCAAGGTTAAATATAGATATGTGTTATACGTAGGGCTACCTATGAAGACAGTCTGGAAACTTCAGCTAGTGCAGAATTCAGTGGCCAGGTTGCTCACCGGAGCAAGGCGGTTTGAGCATATTACCCCCACCCTGGTCTGACTGCAATGGCTACCAATTAGTTTCCAGGCCCGATTCAAAGTGCTGGTTTTGATCTATAAAGCCTTTAATGGCTCAGGACTAGGAATACTTCAAGGGCTGCTTCTTTCCGTATGAACCTACCCGGACCCTGAGATCCCCTTCTGATCTCAAGTGGTCCAGAGGGTGGCAACATGAGAACAATGCCTTCTCTGCAGTGGCTCCCCGTCTGTGGAATGCTCTCCCCAGGGAAGTTCGCCTTATAGACCTTTAGGTGCCAGGCAAAAAAGTTCCTTTTTAACCAGAATTTTGGTTGATATGTTTGACATTCTATACCCTTTTTCAAATATGGCTCTTTTCTTGTGAGGGGAGGGTGTTATTGGGTTGTTGTTTTTATTCTGATTATATATGTTGTGATCTTTTCTGAGAACCACGCTGAGACCTCTGGTTATAGGTCGGTAAATAAACTCAAATAAATAATAATACTAGCAAATACTTTCATTATTTAAAAGCATTATAAAACATCAAATATTAAAAACTATACAGGGTTGCCTTCAGATGTCTTCTAAAACTTCTATAGTTGTTTATTTGACATTTGACGGAAGGGCGTTCCACAGGGTGGGCACCACTACCAAGAAGGCCCTCTGCCTCGTTCCCTGTCAATTCCCTTCTCACAGGGAGGGAACTGCCACAAGGCCCTTGGAACCTGGATCTCGGTGTCCTGACTGAATGATTGGGGTGAAGACGCTCCTTTATGTGGGATGTAAACACAGGAGCAGTCAATGACAACATTCCTAGAGTGTGCATGTTAGAACATGCGGAGGGATGTCTGTCCAGCAAGCAGGTAAACTTCCTGGGGACTGACTTCCTCCGCATGTGACCAGAGGTGGGTGTGGCCTCACCTGTGCAGGTAATGACAAAAGCACAGGGCAGACAGCCATCTCTCTCTCTCTGCCATTTTCCTTCGATGAGGAAGCATGTAAAGATTCCCTCTTGGCTCCCAGCCAAGAGAGGAGATAAGGTCTATCTTGCAACAAGATAGATTATAAGTATATGTAACCTTTTTAAGCCTGTCTGCCGTCTGGGATCATATTGTGAACAGATCGTGAGTAAACTCTTTATACTTTTATAAAGACTGTGTTGTGTCTTGTATTTTAAGAGGGAACAAAGGGGAAATTACCAGAGTAATTATTATAGAGGTTCTAGCGAACCTGTGCACACGTTACCGTTGCGAACTTAAAGGGGAATGTCTATTAAGTCTGCTGATATTTTGGGAACTTGTTAGCACAAGTTGGATAAGGATATAATTAGTCAATATATCCTTTCCTGCACCCCAGAACATTCCCACACTTTAGCATTTCATCAGTTTGCCTTTTTATTCCACCAGGAGATGTTGAAGGGATGCTGGCAGAAGGGGAACAATCAGAAGTGTCACCGAAAGGATCCAAAGAGAAGGGGGAGCAAAGGAAGCTGAGGGTTCAAGATGGAGGCAGAAGGCGAGAGGGAAGACGAAAGCAGAAGCCAGAGGGTGACTCTTGTATGTCTCAGGGTGGTGAAAATCAAATTGACAAAAAGGAGAAAAAGCATGAATGTACATTGTGCGGACAGAGATTTTGTAATCGCTCAGCTCTTACTTCACATCAACGAACTCATACAGGGGAGAAACCGTATACATGTTCAGAGTGTGGAAAGAGATTCAGTAGGAGTGGGACCCTTATATTGCACCAACGAACTCATACGGGAGACAAACCTTATACATGTTCAGTGTGTGAAAAGAGCTTCACTCAAAGTAGTGGCCTTACTTTGCATCAAAGATCTCATACAGGAGAGAAACCGTATACATGCTCAGAGTGTGGAAAGAGCTTCACTCAAAGTAGTGACCTTACCTTGCATCAAATATCTCATACAGGGGAGAAACCGTATACGTGTTCTGAGTGTGGAAAGAGCTTCAGTCACAGCACTGCACTTACTAGACATCAACAAACTCATCGAGGCAGCAAACCTTATAAATGTTGGGAATGTGGCAACAGCTTCAGTCGCATCGACTCCCTTTCCTTGCATCAAAAAATTCATATAGGGGAGAAACGATATACATGTTTGGAGTGTGGAAAGAGCTTCATTCAGAATGGCACCCTTACCTTGCATCAAAGAGTGCACACAGGAGAGAAACCGTATAAATGTTTGGAGTGTGGGAAGAGCTTCAGTCGTGGTAGCTCCCTTACGTTGCATCAACGAACTCATACGGGAGAGAAACCGTATACATGTTCGGAGTGTGGAAAAAGCTTCATTTGCAGTAGCTCCCTTATGTTGCATCAAAGAACTCATACAGGGGACAAACCATATAAATGCTCCGAGTGTGGAAATAGCTTCAGGCGCCGGAGTCACCTAACTAGACACCAAAGAAGTCATATAGGGAGGAAATCTTAAAAATGTTTGGCGTATGGAAAGAACTTCAGTGACAGGGGCTCCCTTCCTAAACAGTAAAGAACACGTACAAGGGAAGTATCTTAGAAACGGTTGGAGTGTCTTTAATTGTATCAAATAACTCCTACAGAGAGTAAACCATGAATCGTTTTCTGGTCGTCGTCCCCCCCCCAATATTTCTGTCATTCACTAAAATGCTTGTACTTCCAATGACAAAAGCACAAGCCCTTCCTGGGAATTCCTGGGCATAGAACTACTGAACCCCAGACCCCCAAAAGAAATCAACCTTAACCAGCACGCAATGCTGAAAAATTCTGTTTTAAATGCAGTTTTTTCCGATATATGTGCACAGAAGATCAGTCAGAAATGTTAAGAATGCCTGTGTTTGGAAAACAATTGCCCTAGATACTCTAGTCCAGGCTTTCCTGCGCTTGGGTCTCTAGCTGTTTCTGGACTACAATTCCCATCATCCCTTACTGCTGCTATCTGGGGGTGATGGGAGTTGTTGTCCAGAAAGAACCGGAGACCTAAGTGTGGGAATCCTGCTCCAGTGAAAGGGGAGGATACGGACGTGAACTGCGCTGATTCAATTGTAGATGGCATCTTTCATAGCTCCGATAAGAGAGGAGTTCAGGGAGCAAACAGCCTCTTCCTCTGATGACGTCTTTCCCCCTGCCTTGCTGAGCTTGTGTGTTTCTGCGTCCTTGCAGCCATGGGATCTGCTGCTGTTCAGGCTCATGCCACTCTCTGTGTTGCCTTGTCAGACGCTGCCCACTGTTGTCCCCCAGCCCTATTCCCCTCCCCCATGTGTGTCATTCACTATAAGGCTTGCCCAAGCCATTATTCGCCACTGGCAGAGAGCCTGCCCAGACCCCAATGTGTCTGTTTGCTGCTGTTTAACTTCTTGTGCCAAAGGTTGCCCATTCTCCACCAGAGAAGAAGGCAAGCAGATCCTTAAGGCCGGGTTTGCTGTTGAAGTCCACAGGAAAGCCTGGATCTAAGCCAGGAAACCTTGGTTCGTTGTGGGGATCTGTTTCTCTGTGCACATGCGACTCGTTAGGAAATTAATTTTGGAAATGTGATGTACCAACAGGGCAGTCAAATAATTGAAGAATATTTGCACCCAACTTACTGCCTATTGATACGAGTCAGTCGCTTTCACTGTGTTTTAATCCAGGTTTTATTGTTTGTTTCGTTATTTTTAACAATAAAATACGCATTTTAGGGGTTTTTTTTACTGATAATGTCATTGTTTTATTTTTCCTGAACCATGGATTTAAAAAATCCCAAACATATATGTACCGTAAAGCTGCATGTAAATTTTAGGGAACAAAATAATGAACGCCTACAAAAGATGAAATAGCCAAAACAAGTGTGCAGTTCCTAAGAATCCATTTACAACTCGCTTCAGTGCAGGTTTTCTCAGGAGTCAGTCCCACTGTTCCCAAAAGGTGCTTAATCTCAGGGAAGAGCTGTATGTCAGCCTGTCTGACGCTTCTCAGGGAATTAAGAGACAACGCTCAAGATTTCTTGTTGTGGGCCACTGAACTGAGACAAAAGGTCAAGTTGCCCCCCCCCCATTCACCTGCTACTGCCCACCAGAGGGTAGATGGAAGGGTCATGTATTGTCTTTCTCCCCAGAGGAATGATTTCAATTGCGAAAACGACACTGGAGGAACCCAAGAAGCTGCCATGTACCAGCTGATGAAGGTGAATACATCGAAACAGGGCCCTGTCCTGGTTTCCGATCCATAATGTGACTTCTGACTTCTGTTTAATGATTGAAACTAAGACCTCCACGTCGAATATGACTATGGATGAACATGTACTTATCTCTACTCATAAACTCTTATCTCTATTTCTGTAACGAATTTTTGTGTTATACATGTCCTTATGAGTTTGAGTTTGTAACCTCTATTTGAGTTTATAATCCTTGTCAGAATACATAGTTTTGAATGGATTAGTTTTTGTCACAATTGACTATTGATTTGCTAATAGGGATGATTCCCACTACTGAAACTTACATTGGCCTGAGTTCTTGGTGTGCTTTTCTCTTGGTATATTTAATAACAAGAACTCCAACTTATTTAACGTTAATCTCAGGGAAAAAGCGGATAAATTCAGTTTTGGGATTCCCCAGGCAGAAGAGATTTTGGTCCTCAGGGTTAAATGCAGTGAGAGAGGAAATTATGCTTTTCCTTCCTCTCTGCTTGCCTGAACTCTGCAGGCTTTCCCCAAAGGTCTGGGGTGTTACAGATCCTTTCCTCACTATTTGTGCCACCTGGCTCAGATCCAGTTCCATCACAATGTGATTGCTTACAGGAATCTGTGTTTGACAGTGAATGGTCTCCCCTTCCTTGGAGGTTTTTAAGCAGAGGTTGGATGGCCATATGTCAGGGATTCTTTAGCTGAGATTCCTGTATTGCAGGGGGCTGGACTGGAGGACCTTTGGGGTCCCTTCCAACTCTATCATTCTATGGAAGCTGCCCATACACACACACACACATCCCCCCTTGCCCAGCCCATTCACAAGGTGGGAACATAAATAACGCAGGGAAATTGAAATGCAATCTGTGACACCCCCCCCTTTTAACACAGTGGCTCCCAGACTTTCTGGCTCCCACCTTCTTGGTTCCATAAAATCGTCCCAATGCCACCTTATTATTATTACAGTGGTACCTCACAAGACGAATGCCTCTCAAGACGAAAAACTCGCAAGACGTAAGAGTTTTTCGTTTTTTGAGTTGCTTCGCGAGACGAATTTCCCTATGGGCTTGCTTCGCAAGACGGAAACGTCTTGCAAGTTTGTTTCCTTTTTCTTAAAACCGTTACAGTAATACAGGGTGCATTGCCTGAAGAGGTGCAGTTGCGACTTGACTTCAGGGAGCAACTCATAGCACGCGGTGTGGTAGCCTTTTTGAGGTTTTTGAAGATTTTTTGAAAAAATTGAAACCATGCTTCGCAAGACAAAAAAACTCGCCAGACGAAAAAACTCGCAGAACAAATTAATTTCGTCTTGCGAGGCACCACTGTATTATTATTATTTATATACCGTCCTATACCTTGGGGTCTCAGAATAAAATCAAGATCCAAACCACAAAATACAAAATAAAAACCAATACAACCCGAACAAATCTGTTGTGTTTGTGTGTGTGTGTCTGTGTATCGGGTTGTGCTAGATGACCATTAGGTCGCATTCCAACTTTTCCCCATTCTTAGATTCGATATCCTGCCTTTTTCTCCAAGGAGCTGAACGTAGCATATAATACATGGTTCTTCCTCTCCTCCTTTAATCCCCTACAACAACCCTGGGAGGTAGGTTAGGCTGGGAGGCAGTGACTTGCCCCATGGCCACCCGGTGGGGAATTCGATCCCTGGTCTCCCAAGACCATAGTCCAGCACTCTAACCACTACACCACACTGCCTCTCACCACTGCCTAAGATGTCCCAACCTTGTGAAAGTAGAGATCAGAATCCCCCAAAAGGAGAGATTTTCTTCCACCCCAGCTGTCTGGTGCTCAAAGGGTTAAAGATGAAGTGCAGGATTCCTAGAAAGGCAACAGGAAACAGGAGGAGGAGCTTGGTCCTCCAGGACAAGTGCCCCTCCTCCCTCCTGCCTTGTGCATGGTCCTTTTGCAGAAGAGAGGCTGCAGAGGTTGGATGCATGGAAGGAAGCAGGCAGGGAGGCTGGGGCCAGATCCTGCTGCAACCCAGAGCAGCTTGGAGCAGGACCTGAGGTCCCCCCACCTCTGGCTCAGCCCCTTTGTGGTCCACACTCCCTTGGCCAGCCTTTGGCTTGAAGCAGAACCTGGAAAGAATAGGAAAAGAGGCTGCAGGGGACAATCCTTCAGCCATATTGGAGGCTGCTGCCCAAATCCCCAAAGTGCCCCATTTGGGAGATCCTGGGAAGAGCTATGAAGACCCTCCTGGATGGAGACACCCTCAGCTCACATGCTCAGCGCCAGAGATTCAGGCATTCACGCTACCAGGAGGTCCAGGGACCCCGAGAAGTTTGCAGCCGACTCCACCGCCTTTGCAGGGAGTGGCTGGAGCCAGAGCGACACACCGAGGCTCAGATCCTGGACCTGGTAGTCCTGGAGCAATCCCTGGCTGTCCTCCGCCCAGAGATGGAGAACTGGGTGAAGGATCAGGGAGCGGAAACCAGTTCCCAGGCGGTGGCCCTGGCCAAAGGTCTCCTCCTGAGCCGGGCAGAGGAGAAGCAGCAGCAGGTGAGACACTTTCATCCTGGTAACTCCCAGAGATCCATGGTGGCTGCTGAATTCTGAGGGTGGTGTCTCTTAAAAGGCGAAAGTGGCTCTTGGGTGCAGAAGGTTCCGGGTTCGATTTCCGACATCTTCCGACAGGGCTAGGAAATCATCCTTGCCTGAAACCTGGAGAGATGCTTCCAGTCAGTGCAGACAGCACAGATCTAGATGGTCCAATTGTCTGGTTCTCGACTAGGCAGCTTCCTTGGTTCCTATTTAAACAGCTCTTCATTCCGAAGCAAGAGGGCTAGAAACTTGCTTTGCCTTTCACCTGTGCCCTTGATATTATTTGAGCGCAATTTCAGCACCCCTTCACATTTTCCTGTTTTTTCCTGTCTATGCATTATTTCCCTTCACTGTGCCCACCCCCTCCAGGAATGTTCTCTCTCTCTCTCCCTGCTGAGTTGCTCCCCCCCCCCCCATATTTGAGTGAAAGGGATCCATAGGTCATAGAATAAACATGTCCCCCATATCGGTCTCTACAGCCAGAGAAGGCGCTGCAACTCTCCCAACATCTTGACCTCACCCCCAAAGGCACACTCCTCCATGGTCTCCCGAGACAGACGGATGCCAAGATCATCAGAGATTCCTGCATTGCAGCGGGTTGGACTAGATGACCCACAGGGCCCTTCCACTCTATGATTCTATTCACAATATTTTCTTCACCCACAGTCCTCAGAGGCAGCAATACTTTTGAATACCAGTTGCAGGAGAGGAGAGGGCTCTTCGCCTTGGATCCTGCCCTCTGGTTCCCTCTGGTTGGCCACTGTGAGAACAGGATGCTGCCCTAGAAGGGACACTGACTTGATCAAGCAGTTCTTCTTAATGTTTATAATAATATAAAAATAGTATGCAAATACAGTCAAACCTCGGCTCCTGAACACCTCCGTTTTGGATTCCTTATGCCATGAGCATCACAATTATAACAAATAAAGGCTTGACATATCTCGCTTTGCATGTCATGATTCTATCTCATATCTTAGTTTCACCTTTTAAGTTGAATTACTGAAATAAGTGAACTTTTCCATGATATTCTAATCTTTCGAGGTTCACCTGTAATGATACATTGGGCAAAAGATATAGGTTATAATATACCAGTTGAATCATGGGAAAAACTGTGCAAAGAGATTTTAAAATTCACAGCATGTAGTTCATTAAAAGAAAATTATATGAAGATGATGTACCGATGGTATTTCACTCTAGTAAAGCTTGCTAAAATGTATAAAGATACCTCTAATTTATACTGGAAATGTAAGGATAAGGAAGGTAATTTTTCCCCCTATGTGGTGGACGTGTAAAAAAGTAAAGGGCTTCTGGGAAATGATATACAATGAACTTTTAAAAATTCTTAAAATTACGTATGTTAAAAAAACCACAGGCTTTTTTACTAGGTGTAATAGGAGAAAAAATGCCAAGGAAGCAAAAGAGACTGTTTATTTATGCGACTACAGGGGCCAGATGCTACTAGCCCAGATGTGGAAAGAAGAAAAGGTCCCAACGAAAGAAGAATGGATAACTAAGATGATTGACTATGTCGAAACGGCTAAACTTGCCGAGCAGATGAGAAAAAATTCAATCAAGAATGGGGAAACTTTATAAACTATTTTAGAGAACGCTGTAAAAAGTCAAAACATTCGCAGGTTTGATGTAACATTTATGAACTAAGAATAGAATTAGGAGGGAGAAAATAGGTTGAAATTAATTGAGGAAATATATAGTAATTATATGCAAGGAGAATAAAAGGGGGGAATGGAAACGTGGCGGGGGGGGGAGGCAGTTATTGCAAATTTGGATTGGATATCTGTGTACCAAAAGGAAAAACGTTGTTTATTTGAAATTTGAAAATAATTATAATAAGAAATAGTTTAGAAAACGTTTTGGGGCGCCCGCGCAGCTGATCCAGCGGGGCTTTTCGGAGGCGAGACCAGCGCCTCTCCTCGCTCTTTGCCCGGAGAAGCCCAGAGGCTCCTGCCGCTCGGCTCCGAAACGGTTAAGAGCAGCGGCGACAGAGCTGAGATTCCTAGAGCGGAGGGGGAAAAGGCTGACGGGAGAATAGGAGCTTCCGCTTCCCGTCTCGCTTTGGTGCGCGGGTGGGGGTCAGTTGCTGGTCATGGCGGCGGCCGCACTTTCTCGTGGAGGCGCTGGAGGTGCGTCTTATTATTATGTATTATAACTGGGGGGGGGGAGTGGGGGTGCAGCTGGAGGGAGTGTGGGGAGGGATGAAAAAGACCCCTACTAGGCAAACCGTTTCAATGTAAGTTTTTTCTGTCTCCTTTTTCTAGTCGTCAATTTACCCAGATTTTCACGTTATTATTTTTAAATAGTGTTAATTTTAAATAATTTAATTTTAAATTATTTCAACCTCTTGAAAGTTGGTCAGCATTTTGGTGTAGATTTCTCCTAATGCCCACGCTTTTGCAAAGGGTATTTCCCATAATATTTACATTTGCCATAATTAATGCATTCTGTATATAATTCAGCTAAAATGATTCATTTATAGGTGTTTCCCCCTTTGTATGGGGGTAGGACATCTTTTCCCAATGGAAGGGCAGATCTTTCTCCTCCCTGCAGGCCAACTCTGGCAGGTGGGGGAGCTTCCTTGGGCTCCCCATAGGTCTTGGGGTCAAGGCAAACCCTTAAGCATTGAAAAACCTTCTGCAGAGGCTCCCCCTGGAACTTGCAAACATTTTTATCCGGCCTGATTTTACTATAATTTCTTTTACTGTAATTACTGTTGTTGTTTAGTCGTTTAGTCGTGTCCGACTCTTCGTGACCCCATGGACCAGAGCACGCCAGGCAGTCCTGTCTTCCACCGCCTCCCGCAGTTTGGTCAGGCTCATGTTTGTAGCTTCAAGAACACTATCCAACCATCTCATCCTCTGTCGTCCCCTTCTCCTTGTGCCCTCCATCTTTCCCAACATCAGGGTCTTTTCCAGGGAGTCTTCTCTTCTCATGAGGTGGCCAAAGTATTGGAGCCTCAACTTCACGATCTGTCCTTCCAGTGAGCACTCAGGTCTGATTTCCTTAAGAATGGATGCGTTTGATCTTCTTGCAGCCCATGGGACTCTCAAGAGTCTCCTCCAGCACCATAATTCAAAAGCATCAATTCTTCGGCGATCAGCCTTCTTTATGGTCCAGCTCTCACTTCCATACATCACTACTGGGATAACCATGGCTTTAACTATACGGAGCTTTGTTGGTAAGGTGATGTCTCTACTTTTTAAGATGTTGTCTAGATTTGCCATCGCCTTTCTCCCAAGGAGCAGGCATCTTTTAATTTCGTGACTGCTGTCACCATCTGCAGTGATCATGGAGCCCAAGAAAATAAAATCTCTGACTGCCTCCATTTCTTCCCCTTCTATTTGCCAGGAGGTGATGGGCCCAGTGGCCATGATCTTCGTTTTTTTGATGTTGAGCTTCAGACCATATTTTGCGCTCTCCTCTTTCACCCTCATTAAAAGGTTCTTTAATTCCTCCTCATTAATTACTGTAATACCTCCCAATACCCACAGGCCTCAGGGCCGTTCACAGGATAAAATTACAATATAAGAACTCAAAGTACATTATCAAAACATAAACAAAAACGATCCAATACCCCCCCAACACACACATTTTATATATTTTTGTTTCAATTAAGTAAGCAGTTTCTGCAAGAGCAGTTTGGGGCAGAAGAGGTTTTTTTAAAAAAGGAGAAGCAAGCAATTTCAAGTTCACTTTAAAAGTGTGGCTGAGGCCTTATGCAGACAGGCTAATAATGATAATAGTACTGGTAATACAACTACTAATAATATGAATACCCCAGAGCGTCCTCACCCACTTTGTGGAGCCCAATTGGCCCCCTGGTACACTCCAAGCTGGGAGACTGAGCACAAGTGGATGAAAGACCCGAATTAATGAAACCAAACACTGGTAAGGGCTCATTATCAAGCCTACCTGGTGACAGTGAAGGCAGCAAAGAAGGCATAGTTTTCTGCCTCCATTGCATCCTCAACATGTCGTCTGGCAGAGATTTTCCAGTTTGTACAGGGCCTTTTACAGGCTGGCCCAAAGGGGGTGGTAGAACCAGCAGGAGCTAGCTGTGACTTCTTTGCAAAGCATTTTGAAGATAAAATGGCTTGCATCCACCAAGATCTTGACTCTGCTGTTACAGCAGATGAGTCTCATGGGGTGTCCAGAGCACAGTCTAGTCCTGTTGTGTTGGATGAGTTTTTTCAGTTGGTAAGGCTCGAGGATATGGACACAGTTCTTGGATAAGTCAGTGACCATTTGCATTCTTGACCCTTTCCCCTCTTGGCTGATAAAATCCAGCAGGGAGGGAACAGTTGGCTGGGCCAGGGAGATGATCAGTGCCTCTTTACAAGAGGGGGTTGTCCCTGCATGTTTGAAGAAGGCAGAGGTAAAACCACTCCTTAAGAAGCATTCCCTGAATTCCTGAATCCTAACTAACTACCGGCCAGTTGCTAATTAACCTTTCCTGGGCAAGGTTCTGGAGCGAGTAGTCACAGACCAGATCCAGGTGCTTTTGGAAAAAACTGATTTTCTGGATCCATTTCAATCAGGTTTTGGCCTGGTTTTGGCACAGAAACTACTTTGGTTGCCCTGTACAGTATGTTGATTTCTGTCATGAGAGAGACAAGGGAAACATGTCCCTGTTAATTCTTCTTGACCTCTCAGTGGCTTTCAATACTATCGGCCATAGTATCCTTCTGGAGCAGCTCTCTGAACTGGCTTTGCGGTGCTTCCAGTCCTACTTGGATGGTCGTTCCCAGAGGGTGTTACTTGGGGAATGCTTTCTGTATGAACCACCTGGACCCTCAGGCTCTCTCTTGTGGGCCTCCTGAACTGGGGGTGGGTGGCACTGCTTTGCGATGGTTCCAATCCTACTAGGATGGTCATTTCCAAAGGGTGCTACTTGGGCAATGCGTTTCAGCCCCATGGAAGCTTCAGTGTGGGGTTCCGCAAGGCCCAATCCAATCCCTTATGTTGTTTAATATCTACATGAAATCGCTGGGAAGGGTTATCTGGAGGTTTGGAGTACATTGCCACCAGTATGCTGATGACACTCAGCTCTATTTCTCCTTCCTATCTGCTGGTGAGGCAGTGGAAGTGCTGGATCAGTGTCTTGCCTTCGTAATGGACTGGATGAGAGCCAACAAATTGAAGCTCAATGCAGATAAGAGTGAGGCGCTGTTAGTGGGTGGTTCCCTAGAACAGATGCCTGGAAGCTTGCCTGCTCTTGATAGGGTTACACGTCCTCTGAAAGAGCAGGTTCGTAGCTTGGGGTTCTCCTGGATCCTTTGCTGTCGCTCGAGGCTCAGGTGGCCTGGAGTGCCTTCCATCAGCTTTGTCTGGTGGCCCAGGTACGCCCCTGGGCCCAGGGATAGTCTAACTACCGTTGTCTATGCTCTGGTAACTTCATGGTTAGATTTAGATACGCATTATACGTAGGGCTGCCTCTGAAGACAGTTTGGAAACTTGAGCTAGTGCAGAATTCAGCAGATGGTGGTTTGAGCATATTACCCCCATCCTGGTCTGACTGCACTGGCTACCAAATAGTTTCCAGGCCCGATTCAAAGTGCTGGTTTTGACCTATAAAGCCTTTAATGGCTCAGGACCACAATACTTCAAGGGCTGCTTCTTTCCGTATGAACCTACCTGGACCCTCAGGCTCTCTTTTGTGGGCCTTCTCCTCAAGTGGTCTGGAGGGTAGCAACACAATAACAGGGCCTTGTCTGCAGTGACTCCTCGTCTGTGGAAAGCTCTCCCCAGGAAAGTTCACCTAGCACCTTCATTATACACCTTTAGGCGCCATGCAAAAATGTTTTTATTCTGTGATCTTTTCTGTGAATCATGCTGACACCTCTGGGTATAGGGCAGTATATAAACTCAATAAATAATAATACTAACATTCATACTTTAATTATTTGTACCCCACGGATCTGACTGGGTTCTCCGAGCCACTTTAGCTGGCTTCAAACAAATATAAAAGCATAATAAAATATTAAACATTAAATACTTCCCTGTACAAGGCTGCCTTCAGATGTCTTCTAAAAGTTATATAGTTGTTTGTTTCCTTGACAGCTGACGGGATAGCTTTCCACAGGGTGGGCACCACTGCCAAGAAGGCCCTCTGCCTCATTCCCTGTAACTTCCCTTCTCGCAGTGAGGGAACTGCCACAAGGCCCTGGGACCTGGATCTCTGTGTCCTGACTGAATGATTGGGGTGAAGACTCTCCTTTAGCATTTCATCAGTTTGCCTTTTTATTCCATCAGGAGATGTTGAAGGGATGCTGGCAGAAGGGGAACAATCCGAAGTCTCACCGAAAGGATCCCAAGATGAGGGGGAGCAAAGGGATCTGAGGGTTCAAGATGGAGGCAGAAGGCGAGAGGGGAGACGAAAGCAGAAGCCGGATGGTGACTCTTGTACGTCTCAGGGTGGTGAAAACCAAATTCCCAGAGAGGAGAAAAAGCATGAATGCACCGTGTGTGGAAAGATATTGGGTAGTCGGTCAGCTCTAACCTCACATCAACAAAGAGTACACACAGGAGAGAAACCGTATAAATGTTTGGAGTGTGGAAAGAGCTTCAGTCAAAGTAGTTCCCTTATCTCCCATCAACGAATTCATACAGGAGAGAAACCATATACATGTTCCGAGTGTGGAAAGAGCTTCACTCAAAGTAGTGGCCTTACCTTCCATCTAAGATCTCATACAGGGGAGAAACCGTATACATGCTCAGAGTGTGGAAAGAGCTTCACTCAAAGTAGTGACCTTACCTTGCATCAGCACATTCACACAGGGGAGAAACCATATACATGTTCTGAGTGTGGCAAGAGCTTTAGTCACAGCAGTGCGCTTACTGGACATCAACAAACTCATCGAGGCACCAAACCTTATAAATGTTGGGAATGTGGCAACAGCTTCAGTCGCATCTACTCCCTTTCCTTGCATCAAAGAATTCATATGCGGGAGAAACGATATACATGTTTGGAGTGTGGAAAGAGCTTCAGTCAGAATGGCACCCTTACCTTGCATCAAAGAGTGCACACGGGAGAGAAACCGTATAAATGTTTGGAGTGTGGGAAGAGCTTCAGTCGTGGTAGCTCCCTTACATTGCATCAACGAACTCATACGGGAGAGAAACCGTATACATGTTCGGAGTGTGGGAAAAGCTTCATTTGCAGTAGGTCCCTTATGTTGCATCAAAGAACTCATACAGGGGACAGACCATATAAATGTTCCGAGTGTGGAAAGAGCTTCAGGAACAGGAGTCACCTAACTAGACACCAAAGAAGTCATACAGGAGAGAAACCATATACATGTTCAGAGTGTGGAAAGAGCTTCAGTCAGAGTAGCGGCCTTAATAGACACCAAAGAAATCATACAGGAAGGAAATCTTAGAAATGTTTGGCGTATGGAAAGAACTTCAGTGACAGGGGCTCCCTTCCTAAACAGTAAAAACTCATACAAGGGAAATATCTTAGAAAGGGCTGGAGTGTGGGAAGATCTTTATTCATATCAAATAACTCCTGCAGAAAGTAAAACAATGATTGTGTTCTGGTCATTCACTAAAATGCTTGCACTTCCCGTGACAAGGCAGAAGCCATTTTTGGGAATTCCTGGGCAGAGAGCTGCTGTACTCTAGACTGCAAAAAAAAAATCAACCTTATCCAGCACACAATGCTTAAAAAATCAGATTCTGTTTTAAATGCAGTTTTTTAGATCTATTTTTACAGAAGAGCATCCAGAATTGTTAAAAATGCCTGTGTTAGGAAAACAATTGCCCTAGATACCCTAGGTCAAGCTTTACCAAACTTGGGCCTCTAGCTGTTTTTTGGACTATGATTTCCATCATCCCTTAATACAGCTAGCTGGGGGTGATGGGAGTTGTAGTCCAGAAAGAACCGGAGACCTAAGTGTGGGAATCCTCCTCTAGTGAAATGTGAGGATACGGACGTGAACAGCGCTGATTCAGTTGTAGATGGCATCTTTCATAGCTCCGATAAGAGAGGAGTTCAGGGAGCAAACCGCCTCTTCCTCTGATGACGTCTCTCCCCCTGCCTTGCTGAGCTTGTGTGTTTCTGCTTCCTTGCAGCCATGGGATCTGCTGCTGTTCAGGCTCATGCCACTGTCTGTGTTGCCTTGTCAGAAGCTGCCCACTGGTGTCCCCCAGCCCTACTCCCCCCTATGTGTGTCATTGACTGTAAGTCTTGCACAAGCCATTGTTCGCCACTGGAGGAGAGCCTGCCCAGACCCCAATGTGTCTGGTTGCTGCTCTGCCACTTCTTGTGCCAAAGGTTGCCCAGTCTCCACCAGAGAAGAAGGCAAGCAGATCCTTAAGGCTGGGTTTGCTCTTGAAGGCCACAGGAAAGCCACGCCGCCGCCGCACAATTTCTGTTCTCATCCTGAAGCAAAGTTCTTAGCCTCAGGTACTATTTCTGGGTCTGTAACCTGAAGCATCTGTAACCCAAGGTACCACTGTATAACCCTTCCCCCAATGTCAGTTGCTTCCTGTGTCTCTGTTCTCCCCCTCTTCTATCATGTCCCTCACAACAGCAGTCGATTGCGTTTCTTCCTTGATTTCATATTCCTTTTCTCTTTGGGGGCCTTACCAAATAATTGTGTTTCTTTCTTCCCGGTGAATGTTGGGAGAGTGAGAACGAAGGAGAGTTACATGGAGGTGCCTTGGAACTAACCAATTGCAAAGAGAGGGGAGGCCAAATCACACTTACGGAAGGAAATGAGGGACTTCCGGGTTAGCACCATTGGCAGTGGCGGAGTTCCTCTGACTGAGAGGAACCTGCTCCACGAAAATCGGGTCTTGCCGCCGGGGTAAGGAAATGAGATGAGGAAGAATAAATCCCCTGCCTCTGAAGACGGTGACATTTTGGAAATCCAAGAAAACATGGGTGGAGGAAAGGAGAGGACTCTGTGCTTAGTGTATGGGGAAAGCTTTGGTTCGAAATCGAGCCTCACTGCTCATCGGAGAATCCACACAGGAGAGAAATCCTTTAAATGTTCAGACAGTAGTAGGAGCTTCAGTGACAGATCAACCCTCAAAAGGCACCTGAGAATCCACACAGGGGAGAAACTGTTTAAATGTCTGGATTGCTTCGGTCGGAGCACCATGTCGGGAATTCAAGCCCATATCAGGAGAAACTGGCAACAATCCCATGCACCCGGCTTGATTCCCTGTTGACCTCCCTGGCTGCATTCCCCAGCAAGCGCAGGCAAGGTCTCGATAGGCGATTCTTCTCAAACGTGAGAAGAACACCCCCCTTTTTCCTGCCCCCCTGGCAGGGGAAAGAGATAGACAGAAATGTATTTACATGCTTTTATTTCTGACTTTGCAGCATTACAAAAAACATGACTGCTCTCTGCAAACTCCAGCAGTGTAGTGACACACTTCCTGTACTTCCTGGAAGAGCTCATATTACACTCTGAGCTAATAAACGGAAGAGCTCATATTACACTCTGAGCTAATTCCGGTGCTTCGCACTGTGAATTGACTGTCCCTCTGTTTCCCACGGGCAGTCCCAACATTCCCATCATGTTTACTTTTCAAGCTAGTACTTTGCAGCAGCATTGCATCCATATTGTAACACACCACACTCACTTCCCATCGCAGGATCCACACCGGGGAGAATCCGTATAAATGCCTGTAGTGTGGGAAGAGCTTCAGCCCTTATGAATACCTTACTCTTCATCAGAGAATCCACACGGGAGAGAAGCCCTATCAATGCCCTGAGTGCAAGAAGAGGTTCAGTAGGAGACACAACCTTTCATCGCATCAAAAGATTCACATGGGTGAGAAGCCGTACAAGTGCCCGGAAAGAGCTTTAGCGACAGCACGAACCTCCGTTCACACCGGAGAATTCACCCTAACCCAACCTCAATTCATATAAGAGAATCCACACAAAAGAGAAATACTTCAAACACTCAGCGTGCGGAAAGAGCTTCAGTAATAGCTAGTACCTCAGTTCCCACCCAAAAATCCACACAGAGGAGAAGCCGTTTAAATGCATAGAGTGCGGAAAGAGCTTCTGTTTTAGTACTAGCCTTATTTCACATCAAACTGTCTACACAGGGGAGAAACCCTTTAAATGCCTCGAGTGTGGAAAGAGCTTTAGTACTAGTAAGTACCTTGCGTCTCATCAACGGAGTCACAGAGGAGAGAACCCATAGAAATGGAGACTGCAAGGAGAGTTGAAGCCAACGCTAGTCAGCCAGTGGACCTAACTAACGTAGATTCATTACTTGCAATGGGTCTACTCTGAGGCCAAGCCTTATGAGGAACGGTCGAAGGAGCTGGGTATGTTTAGCCTAGAAAAGAGGAGATTGAGAGGAGATAGGAGAGCCATCTTCAAAGATCTGAAGGACTGTGTGGCGTTTGGCCTCCTCTGTGTGTGACATCATACTGGGTTCGTAGGAAAAGGGTTAACTAATTGTAAAATGACTAACCAATAGGAACCCAGGGGGCAGAGTTAACTGTGTATAAGGTTTTAAGCACAGAGGGTTTTTTAGGGGTTAGAGTTAGAGTTGTTGAGAAGACAGTCTGGACTTAGAAGAGACAGAGAAGATAAGTCTGTGGGTTGGGCTAGTCTGGTGTGAGAGAATGAGAGAATTTGTTAAGAGGAGTCAGTCAAACAGTTGAGATAATCAGTCAGAAGGTATTAGGAAGGTATAGGCCGGTAAGGAAACTAAAGTTAAGATACTGACAGGAATATTATCTGAGAAACCATAAACTTGTTAACGTTTGTAAAATAAACTTTCTTTTTTGTTGTTGTTGTTCACTTTTTAACAACTGTCTGGACTCAGTTTTTTACCAGAGAGTAACTGGTTGGTGGCAGCGGGGAAGCGAGCACAGTGGTGGCACAGGGATCAATAGTTAAACGTCCGGGGACCCTGTGTGATCGCCACAGGCTGTTACATAGCATAGGGAGCAAGCTTGTTTTGTCCTGCTCTGGAGGGTAAGACTTGAACCCACGGCTTCAACCTCCAATAAAGGAGATTCTGACTAAACATCAGGAAGAACTTTCTGACTGTTGGACAGTGGAAAAGTCTCCCTCAGGAGGTTGTGGACTCTGCTTCCTTGGAGATTTTTAAGCAGAGGTTGGGTGGCCATCTGTGATGGATGCTCTAGTTGAGATCCCTGCATTGCAGGGGGTTGGACTAGATGACCCTCGGGATCCCTTCCAACTCTACGATTCACACCATTCGTTTGACGCATTATGGTGCCACGTTAAACAATTATGGCTTCCCTCACAGAATTATGGGAGCTGGCATGTTAAAACACTCGTGGGAATTGTAGCTCTGTGAGGGGAACAGGGGGTCTCCTGGGAACTCTCAGCACCCTTAATAAATGGCACCTCCCAGAATTCTTTGGGGGAAGCCCTGCCTGTATAAAGCCGCATCATAGTAAATCGGAGATATGGTGTGAATGTAGCCTTGGTTGGATACAAACCAGAGAGCTTCTATCAAAGTTGGGACCTTTCTTCACATCAGAGAACTCACATGGGTGATGCCCAATTTTGTTAGTGTACAACGAACTTCATAACTACTCATGAACAAACGAAGAGCTTCATTCCAAAAGGGGCTTAATTTTGACCCCCCCAAAAATCCAGTTTTGGCCTGTCAATGTTGCCGTGAGTCCCACCAATACGGGGCGGGGTGGGGGGTGGAATCTTGTATAAATTTTGGGCCTAAGTTACTGTGTTAGCAAGCCTTGAAAATCGTGTTTGCACTCAGAAAGGACCTAGTCAGAAATAAATTTATGGTCGCAATTGACTTAAGCCCCTTTTGGAATTAAGCTCTTCAAATTCAGGTGTGGGATAAACTTTCTAAATGCTATTCTTGTGGAAAGATCTTTTATCAGAGCTCTGATCCTTTCTCCTGCAGAGTGGAAAAAAGCTATTGTCAAGGGCTGCCTCAGGTCTCAGCTCACAAAAGACCAACGCCAAGCTCTTCTTATATACAAGGATGTTTATTGCAGTTCATTATTGGTTCCACAACCGAGGCGCGCAGCCCCGCGTCTCTTAGCATTAGACGTTTGAAGTCCCCTCTGAATCGGTCCCGCCTCTACACCAGTTTAAGAGGCTTGTGCTAGTCCACCTCTTCCTGTCCTTCCTTTTCCGCAGGGTCTTTCTGCCCCCCTGGGTTCCTTCCCTCCTGCTTTCCCCTGACGCGGAGTCCCCAGATGCCTGCTCCCCCCTCCTTCGTGCTTTGGGACCAGGCTCCTCCTCCGGGCTCTCTGCATTTCCGCGCGCCTCCACATTTGAACTTGGCGCGCGTTCACTACCCCTGACCTTCCTCTTGACAGTTACACTACTCCCTGTACTACTCTCCGCCCCTTCCGGGAGGACGTCTTGCCCCGATCTCCTTCCCCTGTCTCCTTCCTGCTCTGCTCCGTGTGTCACACTGGGAACTCCACCCTCTCCACTCCGTTCCTGCTGGGAAGCCGGCCCCGATCTCCCACTCCCACTCGGGGTTTCCCTGCTGCTTCCCTGCTCCTGGCAAGTCCCCCCTGTGACCCCCCCTTGGCTTGACCAGGGGCGCCCCCTTCTGGGAATCCTCCGATTCACTTGAGAGACTCATGGAAGACCTCAAGTCATTGTCATCCTCTTCCTCACTGTCCTGGGATTCTTCCCCATCGCTCTCCGTCTCCTCCCTCACCTGTGCCTCTGTCCCCAAACCCCTGACATCCATGCTTTTCTATCTCAACTTTTTGTAATTTTATAGAGAGAGTTCTTAAAATCTCTGGCATTTTGGAGATGTTTTATTTCTCCTGTCTGTGTGTAAAGTCGTGCTTTTTGCTGTTTTGTGATTCTTGTTTGGAAAGCCATCCTGGAAAGTTTAAAAATGTCCAAAACAAAATAAAACCTTTCTTCTCACTTGATTTTTTTAAGGATACCCACTGACTTTTCCTTTAATTTAGAAATTAATAATAATAAATTTTATTTATATCCCGCCCTCCCCAGCCGAAGCCGGGCTCAGGGCGGCTAACAACAATAAAATAGTACAACATTCTAAAATCATTTCATTATAAAATTAATTCAAATCAAATTGATGGCAACCATTAGGCTAAAGTTCTGTGAAGATTGCCAAAGGAGTGAGTTAGGCTGTGCCCTGACCAAAGGCCTGGTGGAACAGCTCTGTCTTGCAGGCCCTGCAGAAAGATGTCAAGTCCCACAGGGCCCTAGTCTCTTGTGACAGAGTGTTCCACCAGGTCGGAGCCACAGCCGAAAAAGCCCTGGCTCTAGTTGAGGCCAGCCTAACTTCTCTGTGGTCAGGGACCTTCAGGATGTTTTTGTTTGAAGACCCTAAGTTCCTCTGGGACATACCAGGAGAGGCGGTCCCGTAGGTACGAGGGTCCTAGGCCGTATAGGGCTTTAAAGGTTAAAACCAGACCTTAAACCTAATCCTGTACCCCACCGGGAGCCAGTGCAGCTGGTATAGCACCGGGTGAATGTGATCTCGCAGCGAGGACCCCGTAAGGAGTCTCGCTGCGGCATTCTGCACCCGCTGGAGTTTCTAGGTCAGTCTCAAGGGCAGCCCCACGTGGAGTGAGTTACAAGAGTTATTAAGAAACTGCTTAATCATAATTTTTAAAAAGCTCAAGGGCTGAATGCAATGTTAGTTCTGCTCTTTGAATTTATTTTTACAAATTTGTAATATGCACTTTCATTAAAAAATATTATAATGTGGAGTACACTATGTAAGGATAAGCCCAGCAAAATATATGTAAATCATAATTAGAAACATCATTAAATATTGAATGCCAATTGGTTAAGCTTAGGTCCATTAATTGCAGTGGGTTCATTCTGAGTGTATCTTGGTTGGATACAGCCTTGAGGTAAAGCAAAATGGTGGTCAGCTTCCTCCTGTCAGGAGTTGGATGCTATCGCTCATTCCACAGACAGTTGAGGAAGCCAATGGAATTGAAACAGACACGAAAGCTCATAGCAAGAATTGGAGGAGAGGTGAAAAGAAGAGCTAATTTGTCTGTGGCGGGAGGTGCAATCTGGATGGTTCTGCCAGGGGTGCAATATCACCTAGCTACGGCTCTGTAGTCTACTCAAAGTTAGATACAGTGGTGCCTCGCAAGACGAAAATAATCCATTCTGTGATTCTCTTTGTCTAGCGGTTTTTTTGTCTTGCGAAGCAAGCCCATTGAAGGATTAGCAGATTAGCGCTGTTTCCTAGTGAAGCTGTGGATTCTCTGATGCAAATTCAGGTTGGCGCTTCTGCTGAAGGTTTTCCTGCACTCGGAGCATTTAAATGGTTTCTGTCCCGTGTGTATTCTTTGATGGGAAGTGAGGCTTGAGCAGTTGCCAAACTTCTTCCCACACTCGAAGCACGAATACGGCTTTTCTCCTGTGTGAATTCTCTGGTGAGAATTCAGTCCCAAGGCCAAACTGAAGCTCTTTCCACACTCTGGGCATTTAAAGGGTTTCTCCCCTGTGTGGATTCTTTTATGCGAAGTGAGGCTGCTTCTTCTACTAAAGCTGCACCCACACTCGAAGCACGAATACGGCTTCACTCCTGTGTGAAGCTGTTCGTGATAAATGAGGCTTTGGCTGTGGAGAAATGTCTTTCCACACTCCAAGCATTCGTATGGTTTCTCCCCTGTGTGGATTCTCTGGTGCGACGCAAGGGCATCGCTCCTGCTAAAGCCCCTTCCGCACTCCAGGCACTTAAAGGGTTTTTCTCCCGTGTGGATTCTCTGATGGATAGTAAGGTATTCATAAGAACCAAAGCTCTTTCCACACTCCAAGCATTTGTGTGGTTTCTCCTCGGTGTGGATCCTGCGATGGGAAATAAGGCTCGTGGGCCAACGGAAGCACCGTCCGCAATCCAAACATTTAAATGGTTTCTCCCCTGTGTGGATTCTCTGATGTTTCTTCAGGATTGATTTACTACAGAAGCTCTTCTCACAGTCTGAGCATTTAAATGGTTCTTCCTCGGTGTGGATTTTCCAATGAGCACCGAGGCTTGACTTGCAACCAAAGTCCTGGCTCCTTTCCTCTCCTTTGCCTGCGTCTTCTTGGATCGGGACTGCAGAGCTGTCAACACTTTGAGACTTGCCCTCCTCCTGTCTTGATTCCATTTCTGCTGTCTGCTCTTCCCCTTTGTTGCAGCTGCCTCTTTCCAGCAACAACCTGCGGGCTTCTCTTTCATTCTCACGCTTTTGCCCGTCAGCTCCTGGAAGGAAGAGAGAGAAAAACAACTGGTGAGGACCCAAGGGAAAACGGGAACCCGAAATCCATGAAGGCACACAGTTAGCTGTTACGGAGCAGCTTTTCACAACATACTTAAAGGCAGAGGTCAGCAAACCTTTTCAGCAGGGGGCTGGTCAACTCTTCCCTCAGACCTTGTGGGGGGCCGGACTATATTTTGAAAAAAATATATGAACGAATTCCTATGCCCCACAAATAACCCAGAGATGCAAAAACACGCTGATTCCTGGACTGTCCGTGGGCCGCATCTAGAAGGCGATTGGGCCTGATCCAGCCCCTAGGCCCTAGTTTGCCTACCTACACTTAAAGGTAACCCAACAGGCATTTAAAGCACGTGACTTCCTATAAAGAATCATGGGAATTGTAGTTCCCCCCTCACACAGCTACTATTTACAGTAGTATAAACAACTGGGCAACACTGGCCTGCGAGCGCTCCAATTGGAGAACAGCCTTTACCGAAGGTGTCATGGGCTTTGAAGACGCTCAAACTCAGGACGAAAGGAAGAAACGTGCTAAGAGGAAGGCACGCTTGGCAAACCCTCACTGTGATCAACTCCTGCCCAGAAACCAATGTCCCCACTGTGGAAGGACGTGTGGGTCCAGAATTGGCCTCCACAGTCACTTACGGACTCACTGTTAAGACCGTGTCCTTGGAAGACAATCTTACTCAGCGACAAGAGATCGCCAAAGGAGAAGGAGAAGAGTAGCCCCTTTTAAAATGTTTATATTTTATCGAAAGCTTTCAGTGAGAAAAAAAAAGTGGGAGCAAAGAAAAAAGGGGGGGGGAAACAAATAGAAAAAAATAAATGAATGAAACTGTAATGCAACGCGGTACAGTATATTGGAAATATAATACCATGACTCCCTTTTGATCAATGGAGGGAAGACATGACAATGCTGGCAACATAGAAACAGATGGCCTCTAGAGGCAGGTTGTGTATGTATAAGTGTAATGATAATTGGAATGCATTTATAAAAATTACAACGACTTGCTAATAATTTTACACTTGCTGAGATAACTGATTATTTGCAGTAGCTTTAACAAACTACTGTTCCCAGGATTAATCATAGCATTGTAGAGTTGGAAGGGACCCCAGGGTCATCTAGTCCAACCCCCCGCAATGCAGGAATCCCAGCTAAAGCATCCAGGACAGATGGCCATCCAACCTCTGCTTTGCAGGAATCCTCATTTGCCTGGGATATGCTTTAAATGAGTCCCATCAACTAGAACTGGTGCTATGCAAGACTGTGACCATGGAGACCAGGACTGTTCTTCTGACTACAAAGCCCATTGGGTGACCTTAAAACATGCACCCCCAAACTTGGCCCTCCAGGTGTTTTGGAACTACAATTCCCATCATCCCTGACCACTGGTCCTGTTAGCTAGGGATGATGGGAGTTGTAGTCCCAAAACAACTGGAGGGCCACGTTTGGGGGTGCCTGCCTTAGAATATTCAGAATCTGTTTAGCCAATCAGGGATGGGAAAGCAGCGGCTGTCAAAATGTTTAATAAAACTTATTGCCAAGTGGTGGTGGTGGTGGGGATTTGAAATATTAAAAACTTCCCTAAACAGGGCTGCCTTCAGATGTCTTCTAAAAATAGGATAGCTGCTTATTTCCTTGACATCTGATGGGAGGGCGTTCCACAGGGAGGGCACCACTACTAAGAAAGCCAAGCACAATAAAAAGGGCGCCTAACCCAGAGGAGCCACGATCCAGCAATTTTCCTCCATGACTTCCCTGTGAAGAGACCTTTGGTCCTGATCCAGCAGGGCCCACTCCTCCTCTGTGAAATGCACAGCCACCTCCTGGAAGGTCACCAGATCCTGGGGGAGAAGAGAACATCTCCCTGTCACGCCTTATTATTATTGATTTATTTTTCTTAGCACATTCAACATGGCAAAGAAAAAAGAGGGAAGAAATAGTAAGTACATTAAAGAAGAAAGAAAGACATCGAAAACAATAACAGCAATCATCAATTCACATTGTGAACCTAGAGATCTTCTGTAAGGTAAAGGTAAAGGGACCCCTGACCATTAGGTCCAGCCGTGGCTGACTCTGGGGTTGCGGCGCTCATCTTGCTTTATTGGCCGAGGGAGCCGGCGTACAGCTTCCGGGTCATGTGGCCAGCATGACTAAGCCGCTTCTGGCGAACCAGAGCAGCGCACGGAAATACCGTTGACCTTCCCGCCAGAGCGATACCTATTTATCTACTTGCACTTTGACGTGCTTTCGAACTGCTAGGTGTGTCAGCATCGCCCTTGAGCCAGCACCACCAACTGGACTCATGCACTTCAGCCCCGACTGGGCTAGGCGAGCTGGGTAGCACTTCCAGAGACCACCTTCTGGACAGGAACAGGTCAAAGTGCTGTGGACTCACAGCTTAGAGTTGTGAGCACCGGATTCACTCCCACAAGAAGACAGTCGTCGCACAGCAGAGTATAGCAGAGTCTAGCAGAGTATAAACGACTTGGAGAGCAGCTCTGTAGAATAACTTCTTTATTCTATCTATCTACAACTATTATACAACTATATACAGAGCTTAATGAGGTCTTAAGCATAAAGAATGCTAAACTGCACTGAATGTCTGCAGCTGCTCTTAGCAGCAACCTTATCTATACACACGATCTCTAACACTCCGTCTCTCTCTCTCCAACACACTGACTGACTGACTGACTTGGTGCTGGAGTAGAATAAGTAGAGAGCAGAACACTGCCCCTCCTCTCTGGAGAATCAGCAGAGATCTCAGGAGATTCTTGGATATGGGAGGGGTGAAATCTCCTCAAGGTGGGCAGGAGCTGGGACCGAGAAATGGGAGCTCACCCCATCGCAGGGATTCGAACTGCCGACCTTCTGATCGGCAAGCCCTAGGCTCTGTGGTTTAACCCACAGCACCACCCGCATCTCGCGATCTTCTGTATAGATCTTAAATAAAACCTGTAAGTTAATACAAGTCTTACAGATGTGTAAACAGGTATCCACACAAAATTTACGCCTATATAAAATGTGTTAGTATGTAGCCAAAGCAGTGAGGTGCTCAGACCACTGCTTAATAGACAGTGGGTATTTATTCTTCCAGGATTGTAGGGGGTTGGACTAGATGACCTTGGGGTCCCTTCCAAGTCTACAGTTCTGATTCTATGCACCTCCAGCACTAATTCGGTCTTATACATCTAAGCAAGAGGTGGACTTTCATATGTGGTGGACTTGTAAAAGTATATTGTTATGGAGCGAATGCCTACGAATGGCGGGGGGGGGGGGATCTGCTGCAGTTGTGAGCAGAGGATCCATGGTTTCCCTTCCTTCCCTCCTCCGTGGCTCGCTTTGAAACAGCAAAGCGGGAGAAGAGCTGCTGAGGGACAGAGAGCCTGCTTGCTTTAAAGGAGCAAAGCGGGAGAGGAGAGGCTCCTTTAAAGCAAGCAGGCTCTCTGTCCCTCTCTCCTCCCCACTCAGCTCGCTAAATAGCAGCAAAGTTTTTCAGCAAGCTGGGAGGAGGGAGAGAAGCAGAGCCTGCCTGCTTTAAAGGAGCAAAGCAGGAGAGGAAAGGAGCCTTCTCCTCTTATACCCCTCTCCTGCATTATTAGCAGCATCCTTCTCCACACACCCAACGCGTGCTCCTTCTCCCCTTAAACCCCTCGCCTGCATTATTAGCAGCATCCTTCTCCACACACCCCACGCGTGCTCCTTGTCCCTTGAGTGCTTTTCCTTCCCTCCCCACTTAAAACGTGGTTACAAAGCATGGATCCACATGGATCCTCAGGATTTTTGCATTGGGCTACCCCAAACTCACCGTCAGATCACATGTCTGTGGCCACAGCATGAACCACAAAAATCATACACCCACTGTTTCGTTTAGAATATTTTTTTTCTTGTTTTCCTCGTCTAAAAACTATGTGCGTGTTATGGTCAGGTGCGTGTTATAGAGCGAAAAATACAGTACTTTCCACCCCAAAACCATATCCTTTCTGTTGGAGATAATTCACACTGAAACTCCCAGGTGTCAAAAAAGGTTATTTACGTACGCTAGTACTGCAACCCGTGTTTCGTTAGTCCGGTCCCAACCAAAGAAGATATTGGAAACTTAAATTGACTGAATATGCACAACTTGCAGACTTAACGTATAGAGTAAGAGAACAAGAACATACGTTTAAAGGAGATTGGAAAACGTTTATTGAATATGTGGGAAATAACTGCGTACAGCTGAAAACGTGGGCAGCATTAAGACAAATTCAACAGTGTAAATAAATTTTGATGGATGCAATAACGGAATAATGAATGGTTTAGTTTTTGTAAAATATGCTGGGATTTATGATGTGCAGGATGAACCATGGAAAGAGAAGAAGGTCACCGATATCTTAAGGATGTAAAATGAGTATTTTAAATTGTAAAACAGAAAACTTAATAAATATTCTATTTTTTAAAAAAACAATTCTGATTCCTTAAATCCCATAGCCCCTTGTGTTTCCCAGCTATGAATACTACAGGAATATATTTTAGAAATATACGTCTGCGAATATCAAGGATTTTTCCAAAACTGATGGGAGTAGCAACTTCAAACCAAAAGGAATCCAAAGAGGTATTTTCAACATTACCTCCCACATCTAACTGCATTAGGCAGTGCATCCATTCACAACACCTGTTTAATTACGGGAGTTGTAGTTTGTGCTTATGCTTTTGAATTATGGTGCTGGAGGAGACTCTTGAGAGTCCCATGAACTGCAAGAAGATCAAACCTCTCCATTCTGAAGGAAATCAGCCCTGAGTGCTCACTGGAAGGACAGATCGTGAAGCTGAGGCTCCAATACTTTGGCCACCTCATGAGAAGAGAAGACTCCCTGGAAAAGACCCTGATGTTGGGAAAGATGGAGGGCACAAGGAGAAGGGGACGACAGAGGACGAGATGGTGGGACAGTGTTCTCGAAGCTGCAAACATGAGTTTGACCAAACTGCGGGAGGCAGTGGAAGACAGGAGTGCCTGGTGTGCTCTGGTCCAGGGGGTCACGAAGAGTCGGACACGACTAAACGACTAAACAACAACAACAATGTGCTACTGGAAGGAATCTTTTAAAAAAAAATCTTCCGTTTCGACTACGGCAG